TTGTGGAACAATTTATGCAATTGTCTTGAAAGTGAAATAGCGGTGTGGGTGATTTTAGCTCGTATGGAGGGCATTCAAAAATTTATTTCAATACGTTTAACATTACACATTTTTGCAAATTAAACTGTAGACGAGTCTGATTTTTCATATGTTTTAAGAATATCATCATTGCTATTTGCCATTTTGAATCTCTGTTCTATCAAGACCAATGATTATTGCACGTTATTAACGAAATAATTATTTTTTAAATGTTAAGTAAAGTAAGCTAATGGATAAACGTAAATAGCACATGAGGGCTACATCACCATATTAGCATTCCTAAAGTTGTTTAAAACAAGTATATTATATTTCTAGTAACATTTTTCTAAAGCATTGTATCAAACTAATTAATTCCAAATCAACAGTAATTGAAATAACAAAAATGTAATTAACGAACAAATTTAATGCAGAAGACTGGTTAATTGTGATAAACTTTAACTTCTATTAGGTAGTTGCAACTAAGCAGCATTTTAGTTGCCAAAAGATACTGGACAAGGTTTATTTTTGTTGAGAACTAAGAATATTAGTTTCGCATAAACATGTACTGACTGTTCTTTATTTTTAAATCACTGAAAAACACGTTATTCTTTTCAACCTGAGTTCAACCTGAATAATTTTGTTAGCTGGATTTCTAAAAACAATTTTTGTTTAATCCAGTGACTTAAGGTCAGCAGGATGGGACAAGTAGTAATAAACAAATAAAATTAAAAATTATTTAATATTTATCAATTGTGTCTGCATAAGCCTGTAAGTTTTGCGCTAGTTTTCATTGGTTAATAAAAACGATTCCAGTACTCAGCTAGTGTATAATAAAACATTAAGAGTTTTCCATTGTATGTCTGTGTCTCTTTTCTATAATTTGTTTGAACTATCGTTCTAAAATTGGAAAATCGGGAGAAATGTTAGTGAATGATCCTGAATTTCAGTCAATAATTTATATAAGCTTGTCTGGTAGGGGGCATTTGAAACAATGAGTTTTTTTAAGATAGTTTTTTAAAGCATGGTTATGATTAAAATTTAATAAAAAAGGTTTTTTTTCTAATATATAAAAGTAGTCATCAATTATGTTTCACAGTTTATAGCTCAGTTAACATAAAGTGAGCTGAAATAATTACAAATTAATTAAGAATTATTTATTTTTGAAGGGTTATGCTAGGTGGTCTGAAGAAAAATGAACGTGGGATAACATCTAAATGTTAATAGTTTTACGTGCTTTAATAGTTTTAAGTAATGAAAAAGCAACGATAATCGAATCAACTAGTTTTTTTTAAATAATACATAGATAATTTGCTTGATTGTGATATTTCTAAACTATCTGTGTTTGTCGATATTTATAACAAACAGCACCATTTTTGTTGCCGCTTAATGCCTAGTGTAGTAGATTTTATTTCGACATCAAACTTCTAAAAACGTGTTTCTCTTGATTATTTAAGAAGAAAAAACATTGGGAAAGACATCAAAATATAGTAAAATTACTTGGAATTATTTTAAGTATTGTTATTATTTAGGGTTGTAGCATACTGTTTTGTGCATGGTTGCTTATGGATTCATTAATTCTTCACTTTTCTGATCCCAACGAAGAATGGACGTCATTAAAAATGTCGAAATTACAGAAGTTAAAATGAAAGTAATATTTTCCGAAGATCTTTACTTTATTAAGTAAAAATTTATGTTTTTTTTCCGAGAGGGATTTTTTGAGATTGCTTACCTATGTAAGTTGAACCATTTAAGTACTGAGAATTTTCAATAAAGATTTGCCCTTAAACAACTACGAAAACAACCTAACCTATTGTTAAATAATAATAAAAAATCTTTTAAATGTAACCATTGGAAAGTTGAGAATTACATTAGAACTGCTAGTGTGCGTTTTAGGGTCTATAGACACAGTTTTAATTTACCTTATTACTTACCCAGTAAATATTCTACATGTTTTTTTTTACTTTAATAGAAATAGATATGATGAAATGTCTAAAATTTTGTAAAAGTGTAAACGTCAACATTAATTATATTCTTATTACATATTTAGTATTCCATGTTTTTGGCAACAGCAGTTCTTGTGTACGAAATAGATTTTGAGTTTTTAGAATAACGGTGTGCGTAAATTTTAATAAAAGTATTGTTTTGTTTTTCTTTTAAAAGTTGTTTCTTACATTATCAGAAGTGGGATAAACAGGCAACTGTAATTAATTTTGAGTTTTGAGTTTGAAATGGCATTTTTATCGCGACTTCGTAAAGATCAGTTACGTTACATAGCTAATGAGTTATCTGAAGATGCTTCGTCTACCACTTTGAAAATCCCTGACTTGAGAAAGTTAATATTGAATAGCGAGAATTACGATGAAGAAATGGTTCGAGGAATGGTAGAAAATTTAGTTGAAGACGCCGAGCGCCTTCGTCAAGAAGAGAAAGAAAAAGCCGAGCGCCNTCACTAGAAGAAAAACAACTAGCCGATAATTTCGAGTTGATTAACGGAATACTTTATCGCCTCCATTATGAATCAGGTGATAGAAACAAGACACGAAAGTTGTTTGTAATGCCAAAATCAATGAGAAAGTATCTTGCTGTTCGTTTCCACGACTTTTCTGGTCATTTTGGAGTTGAGAAAGTAATTCAAATGATATGTCAACAGTTTTGGTTTCCTCGTATGGCAAGTTATATCAAGCAGCATATACGACAGTGCGTCGTATGTGCATTTACAAAAGTACCAGGTGGGAAAGCTCAAGGTAAACTTAATGCCATTCCACCTGGTAGTCGCCCATTTGAAGTTGTGCATATGGATTTCCTTGGCCCATTTGTAACAAGTTCAGCTCGCAACAAGGAGCTTTTGGTTTTTGTCGACAATATGACTAAGTTTGTGCGCCTTCGTCCATGTCCTAGTTGCTCAACTAAAAGCGTTTTGAAGTACCTCGATGAATTTACTGATGATTTTGGTTCTCCGAGGCGAATCATTACAGACAGAGGGAGCTGCTTCACGTCCTCGGCGTTTGAAGGCTATTGTAAGCAATTAGGAATCAAGCATACATTAAATTCCAGTCAAAGACCACAAGCTAATGGACAAGTTGAACGCATCAATCGTATACTTATTCCAATGATATCTTCCAATGTCCAAACGGAATCTCACAAGGATTGGGATAAAATATTACCAGAAGTACAACGGTGTATTAACTGGTCTCCGAGTAAGTCGACTGGAAAACCTCCTTTTGAACTCTTGTATGGATACACGCCAGTAAAGCCTGGATATTTTCCTCAAGATCTACTACCAACATCAAATGACTACGTAAATCCAACAAAACTGCAAAGAGATGCCCAGGAAAGTATTATCATTGCACAAGAAAAGATGAAAAGGAATTATGACAAACATCGATGTGATGCATTTAAGTACAATATAGGTGACGTTGTGGTCGTAAGACGATTACCTGAACAAACTGCCTTATCTAACACTAAAACCCAAGTTAAGTACAGAGGTCCTTTGACAGTCATCAAAATATTACCATCCGACACTTATCAAGTTACTGATTTACGCGCAGTTGGACAAGGAAGAAGAAGGCAACATAATTATACGACTACCGCCCAAGCTTCGCAAATGAAACTATTTCATCTGGTCAACGACGAAGATCCGTCTGATGATGGGGACAATATTACTGGAAGTAAGAAAAACTTCATTGCTTGTGAGCCCATAAACGACAACAATAGTACAAATCAATGCAACGACGATCCAAATAAAAATTTAAGCCAAGATAACAGTAGACAAAAGAGGTGTAAAAGTGTGCCGCTTCACTTGAAGGATTATAAGTTGTTTCGAAGGGACGAGGTCGTCCAAAAGTCAGGATGGTCGAGTGTAAAAGTGTGAACGTCAACATTAATTATATTCTTATTACATATTTAGTATTCCATGTTTTTGGCAACAGCAGTTCTTGTGTACGAAATAGATTTTGAGTTTTTAGAATAACGGTGTGCGTAAATTTTAATAAAAGTATTGTTTTGTTTTTCTTTTAAAAGTTGTTTCTTACAATTTCATATACTTGGATGGTGTATTTTTTTTATCTCTCTTTTAACAAGAAGAGAACACAACTGTGTTTTCAGCTGAAACTTGCCATATTAGTAATAAACTTAAAGTGTTTTGTTCTATAAAAAAAGTTGCATTGGTGTAAATTTGTAATCAATTTTAAATTAATTAAGAATGTAAGAAATATTCAACAATTTCTGAAATTGAATGCAACTGATAATTTTAAAAATTTGGAATATTTGCTTTTTTGTACATAAGAGTAGACTAAAATACTTTTTTAAATATAAATGTTTATATTTTGATAACAAAAATACTATTGTATGAATATGTAATCTAAGCACTTTATGCAAATATTTTGGATAAATATTTTTTACTCTATCTGTTTTTACTGTAAATCAGCAATAATAATAATAATTTTAAATGACAAAGAAATACAAAAATGATAGAATAGTTTTATTATACGTTTTATATCAATGCCTAAGTGTAAATATAAATATTGCATAAAAACTAAAATTGTTTTTTTTTATTTGCTTTTAAAAATAATTTCAAGTAAAAAGAAATTTGAAAGTTTGGTGCCAGACGATAAAGATAATTATGTATAAAGAATTACAATAGGACTCAAATTAGGATAAATAAATAATAAATACATAAATAAAAATCAATAAGTTCGGTTATTGATTTATTTTAATGAATATAAAATAAGAAAAGTCTAAGTTTACATAAAGTACAATATTTCAACGAAAAGGGTTTTTTTTTTCTCTTTTTTTTTTTCTTCATCCAGCCTACAGCAATAAGATTCTACAAAAATTTCTTAAGTTTGGCGTCTATGAGAGGCACCGGCAGACAAAAACACAACATCGGTGAGAAAACGTGATGGACTTCAAAAATGCGCATGCGCTATGTAGATAGCCACCCCCACAGCACACCTTAAGCATAGCATGCCAAGTACCGGTCTTTAGAGTTTCCCCCTTAAGCTCGGAAGTCGCGCAGTGAAACTGTCCTCTTCGAGTTCCGAGCGCAACTCGTCGACACCGGTATTACGAAAGTTTCTAGTGGCTTTGGTATATCAGTGAAATTTATTTAGCGAAAAGAAGAATGCTGAAAAACTTTCCAAAAACCATGAAATTTTAAGAGATGCATTGTTTGTTTTGTTTCTGATGAAAAGTTCATTCTATAACGATGACGATCAAAAATAAAACAACTGTGAAATTTGGAAAAAAACTGAAGAAAAAAATTTTCAGCGACTTTATTAAGTTTCTACTTTGTGGAACTCTTGTTGCGTTTGCATTAGCAACACCGTCTTTAGGAGATGCAGGTAAATTTTAATTTTTAACCTGTAACTATTTTTACACATTTGGAAGCTTTTAAAAATTGTGAAAAAAACAAAGACGTTTAAGGTCATTTAATGCTTAAAAAAATACTTATTGATAATAAATAAGAGTATAAAAATTGAAAAAACTTAGAAAGTTTTTTCAATCAATGGAAAGTTTTTGTCAAAGATTGAAAGTTTGGAGATTTAATTCAGTAAGTTAAGGCAAAAATTTATTTTTAATCGACTACATGATAAAAGATAGCGTAATAAATTTTTTTATCTTATAAAAAAAAATTTATATTTAATTTTAAAAATAATTGAAAATAAAAATGACAATAAATTCAAATCGTTAACGCTGATTCATGTCTTTTTTTAAATTTTAAAGATTTCATTTTTGATACTTGTTTAAATCCCTTCAATCAATGATAGTTTNAATATATATATATATATATTTGAATACATTTGAATTTTCTTATTATGGTGAACTAAAAGGCCACAGTATGTCCATCAGATTAACCGCACAATTTACGGTAAAAACACTTTCGACCTTTACGGTTTTGGAACAGTTTACAACTAAGATGGTTGTACAAAACTGAGAATACAAAACTATACGACTTTTTGTTTTTCAACCATTTACCCCTAACATGGTTTCAAAAGCGTAGAAACGAAATTTAACTGGACATTGAGATAGTTTATTAGCTTTATAGGGCTCTCATCTATGCGTGAATGAGAGTATCGTATTCTAATAGCCCACGGTTACAAGTTGGGGAGTGCAGGACATTGGAAACTCTGGTAGTATCAACCCTGGGATTCAAACCCCGTTCTGTCACTCATAAAATTAACGGATTAGCCCTCTCAGCTATAATATGTACCCAACTACAAGGAACTAAGTGCCTATATTATTTGATTCCTGGTAGTACGATAAAATTCTGTTTAACCGTATTAGGTGAAAACAGTTAATAAACGGTTTTTCTCATAGTTAACATTTCGAATACAATATTATTTTTGATTATTTTACTGCTTTGCTTGAATATGGTAAAATAACAATAAAAAAATTGTTATTTAGCAATTTTTTTCAAATTTTTTCAACAGCTTATAATAAATTTAAATTTAATGAAATCTTAGTTATTTAATGGTTTTAATTTTTTTTAAGCATTTACATAAATATATAATCTCTTTCATTTTTGAAGCATGGCTTACAAAAATGTTATGCCTCGTAATATTGCCGTCTCTATTATACACCGTTCATTTAGTTTGTCGTTTGTCCATTCGAATTGATACTAGCTATAAAATAGCTTTACCGATTATTAGCATATAATGGGCGGTAATTGTCTGGAAATTAAAATGAAAGCGCATCTGCGCACAGTTGCTTTAAGCGTTATGTAGTGAGCAAATACTGTTATAAAATTCAATTTTATATTTATACAATTACATTACTTTTCATGAAATATTATATATATATATTGTAGTTCAGAATATTTTCTATTTTCTTGTAACGGAATGTAAAGAACAGCCCATTTGCTCTGTTTGCTAGGGGAAGCGTTCTTTTTCAAACAAAACCTTCGATTTGCATATTTTTTTCGTACGCACATTTCACAAAAAGAATAAGGTATGACGGCATGAAAATTAATAAAGAGCCTTATAAATTTGGAAAAAAATCTTAAAAGAAACTGTATTTATAACCTTGTTCTTATAATTAAATTAATTGTACAGTTGCAATTTATAAGATATATGACAGACTTTTTTCTACGTTACTTTGCCTTTCGCAGTGAATGGTGTTTTAATTTAGAAAAAATCCTTTAAACGATGCTTGTTTTTGTTTTATGTTTTCAAGAGATGTTTCACTTCCCCCCTCATCTCATTTCAAGTCAAATATAATTAACAAAACCAGTTTTTTTTTTGATTGAAAGAAAGGATAAAAGATTGATAGCCTCCTCATATATTTCAAAGCGTTTTACTATCTTCTTATGGCTTGTTCTTCTAAACATAAATTATTATCGATGTTGTTAACTTTTTCTTCTTGACATATATATTACTATTCCTGTTTGCATTCACGTAGTTTTGGAACTAATATTTAATTAAACAGAACAAATTTTGTGCTCTACGTTAAAAAGAAGCATGTGAAAAGGTAAAAAACCCTCGAATATTGGAAATATTTCCGCTTGAGAGTAATTTCCAATTTTGCCTTCTTCTTTAACATAGCATATGCGTGACAGGCATATTCTCGAATATAAAAATTAAAGTAAATTTCAAAATTAAAGTCATTTCAAGATTTTGCATTAGGTAAAATGTCGGTTATTAGCAAAATTTAAAGTTAAATTAAAGTTTTAAGTTAAATTAAAAAAAAATTAAAGTTTTCTCTCGTTCAGTGAAGGTAAGACAGTGAAAACTAAAATATGCTTTTCATAGCTAACAAAAATTCATGCTATTTCAAACTAAAATTTACTTCCTTCATAGCTTTCCATCTCACTCTATTTGTGGTCAATTAATTTGTGTCTCTCCATGTTTTTTTCTATTTTTTTCAATTCGCTTGCAATCATCCTGTGCGTAGTATTTTTCCTGCGTTTATACTACGCATCCTGTGCGTAGTATTTTTCCTGCGTTTATACTACGCATCCTGTGCGTAGTATAAACAATTGTTAATGAATATTTGAGGCTTTTTCATGCCATTTTTATTGAAGTGCCATGTCACAGTTCCATATAGTGAGACAGATTCAACATTAGTATTGAAGATTCTATATTTAGTTGAATTTGTTATGTTTTTGTTTTTCTAGAATTTATTAAGAATAGCGTAGCTGTTTTGGGTTTTGTTTAATCCATTTAGTATATCTTCATGTGTTCCTTCTTTATTGCTAATTATAGCTCCAAGATATGTAAAACTGCTTACCTCAGCGATTCTCAACCTGTGGGACGCGCCCCCCTAGGGGGGCGCGAGCACACCAGAGGGGTGGCGCGAGAATATTCAAGAGAAAATATAATTTAAAAAAACTTATGAACTGGATGAAAGGAAAGCACACATATGCATAGAAAACAAAATACATTTTGACATATTTAATAACTTATTAAAGTGAAACAACTTATTAAATCAAAATTTAAGGTGGGGAGCCAAGGGTGGCTTGGCCTTAAGGATTTTTTTATAATTTTCTGATTAAGTCTGTGTATCTGAATTTTTTCTGTAACATCTTACACCTATCTCTAATATATATCACGTATACTTTTAATTGTAAAATAAAATTTCATTTATTTTATAGTACAATTTCAAAATTGTAGCTTCTGCGCCTAAAGTTTCCCACAGGTTCCAAAGGTGAGCCATATATTGAAATCACTTTTTCACTTACTCAAATTATCCTTAGAAAAAACATTTAGACTGGCAAACGTCTTTTAAAAAGGCACTTTAAGTGTCTTGTTGGTAGGAACAAGTTTCCCGATTTTGAAAAAGATATTTGTTTTTTCAGAGTGTATAATTTGTTTATTGATTTTACATTGATAGTTCTTGTGTGAAGTCACTAGCGATTCTTTTAATCTTTATTACTGAGTTAATTTTTTCAAAAGGATTAACTAACAAGAGTTAAATAACCATACTAGAGTTAACTAACCTAACCCATAACTAGTATAAAAATACCCATATTTACAAGAAAATACCAGAATCGACCACAAAAACACTCATAATTACCAGAAAAATAAAAAAAAAAACTGAAAAATTACTTTGAAATGCAAACAATACAAAAAACTTGTAACAAAATATCGCAATTTCTGCTAAAATGCAGAGAACGTCAAAATATTATAAAAGTTTAAAAAATACCAAAGTTCCATATTTGCTTAAAATGAAATAAATCAATTGGCATTCAATTCAATCATTCCTCTTTGAGAAATAATATGCTACGTAATGATTTATAATGAACTATTTTATAGATTTCACGTTTGTTTCCAAAGGTGGCCCCTGTGTCCCCAAGATGGCACCGGTGTCGGGCCACCTTGGGAACATGCATATGGTCACCATTTGCACGAATTAAAACTATTAATCTGATAGATTAATTAGAATTAAAGTAATGTGGTTAAAGAAAAAGAAATAAACTTTCAAAGTTCTAAGAATTTGAACACATATAAATTACAATATCTTCTCACCCGGAAATTTGAACAACTGCAAAAAATTAAATCACTTCATAGAGTGGAGACTATTCAAGGAAATATCTTCCAATTCAGCCTCGTGCACCTCAGATACAAGATTTACAATGCAGCAGGGACGTCTTATGATTCAAAATAAATTTAATTTTACTTTGGGGGGTGGGCTACGTTAGGAGCACTGACCACCTTTGGCTTACCCACCTTACTTAATCAAAGCATACTAAATTTAAAAAAGAAATTAATAATTTTTAGTGACTTCCTTGGGCCCAAAGAGCGGAAAAGATTCTTTATCTCAGGGTTCTCATTTTTATATAATTTGCAATCGTTACAACCGTAGTTAACACAATATTAAAACCAGGGACGCATTTCTTTTGAAGCCAAAGCTTCTCTGTGGATCATGCAATGTGTCCAGACGCATGGAGGCGATTTTTTACAAGTTTACAAGTGCTTGTATACTTTCGAACCTTCCGGATATTGAACGAGCACCATCGGTGCATATTCCGATGCAATTTTTGCATTCTATGTTTGCCTCATTCATAACTTCATTTGAAATAGCAAATAATGCTAGCGCTGTTGTTTTGAGTTCTATTGATTTGCAGAAAAGTAGTTTTACTACTGACATATTATCACAAAATCAAACATAGACAATTAAATGAGCATCTTTATTATGCTTCATCAAACTGTATTGAAAACATTTTGTCACGCAACATCGAGAAAAGCTGACACTACATTTTCAGCTGCATCACCAATTCGACAAGCAACAGTATTATTTGAAAGAGGTATGGACTGAAATTGTTTTGAAAAATTAACTCCAAACATAGTCTCTACAATCTCAATTGCTGCTGGCTTTTACTTTACTTTTGTTTTAGCAGTTAGTT